ATGTTTATTTTTAAATTTTTTTTCCCAGTACTGGGGATTGAATTCAAGACCTTATGCTTTCGAGGCAGGTGCAGTGCCATTGAGCTAAATCTCCAGCTCCTATGTTTATTTTTAAATAGCTGTCCTGATAGTTGTGAATTGGTATCTCACTGTGGTGTAAGTTTTTTGTTTCATTGTGGTTTGCTTTTTGTTTTTTGGGGGTTTTTTTGGTACCGGGGATTGAATTTAGGACCTTGCACTTTCGAGGCAGGCCTGGTGCCACTGAGCTAAATCCCCGGCCCTGGTTTTATTTTTTGTTTGTTTTTTCTGGTTTTGTTTTGTGTTTTGATGACACTAGGAATTAAACCCAAGGCATTTGCACTGAGCTACATCCGCAGGCCTTTTTCTGTTTTTTATTTTGAGACAGATTTTGCTAAATCACTAAATTTCCCAGGCTGTGTTAAAGCTTGTGATCCTCCTGCCTCAGCCTCCCAGAGCGCTGGGATTGCAGATCTGCACCATCATGCCTGGCTTCCTGACTTCATCTTGATGGTAGTGTTTAGAAGCACAATTTTAAATTTTGATGTCCAGTTTATTTTTTCTATTGTCACTTGTTCTCTTGCTGTTATAACTGTTGCAGAATTCCAATAGAGAGGAGATACCAATGGGAATCAGGAATACTTTATTTTAGGTGAACACTGGCTCAATGGACTCCTGTCCAAAGGGAGAGCAGAGAACAAATGAAAGGTTCCAGTTTTCTACATTTGGTTGAAGGGGTTGGTCTTTCTAGTGATGTAGCAAGTGAGTTTACAAGAAACAGGACAAGGCTAGACAGTTTTGTAATTTAGCCATGAAAGAAGACAGAGCTTTGTGAATCTTGTGAGAACAAGATGACATAAATTTTGTTCACAGGATGTAGTTGCCAATTTTATCAGACCAAGGAAAGACAGGGAAGATAGGGTGATCTGAGCGGGTAGGGAATTGCTCAAGGCTGGGAAGATCTTGTTTTTCTTTAAGTTCTGCTTCATAATAGAAGCCATTGCTTAATCTAAGGTCATGAGTGTTTGTTTATACCCGGTGCTTTTTTTTCTAAGAGTTAATTTTAGTTCTTATATTTGTCCCTCAAACTCATGACATTAAATATGACATTTTCGGTATGACTTTTTTTCTCTAGCATTTGTTATTATTTGG